TGTTTCTGACAGACAACATACATCAATACAGAGGGAATCCAGCGTACGCGCAAGAGCCACCTGTTGACCTGCTTGCTTCAGTGTGCGAACATTGAAGGTGGCTAAGTAGACAGGCTTTCGGGGTTTGAAAACAGACTTCGAAGTGTTTAGAATTGTAACCGAACTCAGACGTGCAGAAGCTGCAGCTGTGTGATTCAGGGCGAGCAACACGGTAAGTCCTAGAGCTGCGACCTGCGGAGAAAGTATTCGAATTTGGGTGGGGGAGGGTGAAAGAAGGAAAACGTGAAAATGTAAGAAAGGAAGCGTCAGCAGTAGCATGTTTTCGCTTACCCGCCCTGCTGTATGCAACAAGTAAGGCGACCCGGCTGATGGCACGACGCGACGGCCGATGTGGCATGAGTGTATTTGTGTATATGCAGTTCATTGTCGTACGTGGGCTGGGATACTGCCAGGGAGCCCACACCTAGACAGGAGAACGATTAGGGTCCTCAACCAAAGACTTTGGCTCAAAAGCCTAACCGCAAGGGAGCGGTGTTCGGCTGGAAATGCAAGTACATTACCATTTTTTTACGGAACACGTCGCCATACATGTTAGAACCCCCAACCTGGAGGGTCAGGAGACTGTGTTCGTCAGACCTCTACCCATGGACCAACCTGGTATGAGAGAATCTGTGAGTGTCGCGTGGACACCCTCCAGTATAGCTCAATGGGTCTCCGAGGTACACAAACTACCACAACACGGTAAGGTTCAGTCTCTTCGTGACGGGGAGCCAAACCGCTGCGGAAGATAGTGTGGCGGGCGAGAGATAGCAGACTTCAAGAGCTACTTAAAATCAAATCGTTTATGGGGCCCTGGGAGAAGCATCAGAAGATGCATACGGCTAGGCAAAGCTTTGATAACCTGCTGAGTAGGATGATGGGTTCCGGTATTTTGAGGCACGCGACTCGCTGGGCTATATCAATATAGTCGGATAAGAAAAACAAGAGCCTGGGCGGATTTTCGTGGGTGAAAAGAAAGCGTTCAGCTGTAGCACCCTTCCGGTGCCTAGCTGCCATGCCACCCGAAGGAAGCACGAGGACCGAGATACTGCCAGGTTGCCCAAGCCTAGACAGGGGAAGTCGAGAGGCGGAGGTCGGATTCGAACCACGGACCTTCCGGTCAGTAAACTCGCGATCTAACCACTTGGGCCATCTCGCCCCCCCCATAGGTGAAACAATGTATAAGAGTTGTTTGTTTGGCGCCTTTGGTCGAACCTGCACGCGCAGCTTCAGCTCACGACTGAAAAGAGGAACGCCATCAGATAATATCCAACCGCATAAACAGACCCCGAAAAAGCAGTCTACAGCTGCTCCATAGTGGACTCAACTACCATTTGCATAGTTGGGGAGTCGGTATGATACGCGCGAAATATCTCATTCAGTTTTATAAAGGTTTTGCGAGTTAGATGATGGAACACGCGCAGCAGCTTCATATAAAACGAAACGTCACGGACAGTACCAAAGAGCGACCTGGCAGAATAGTTTCGTACCACGTGACACAGCAGGTGAGCCCCCCGCCCACACTATCGTAGCGCGCATATCCTGCTTCATCTCCCTGAAGAACCCCCATCATTAGTATTCTATCAAAGGACTCATCCTGGAGGGCTGATAACTCCTTGTTGTGCACCGCGCGTCAGTCAGCATCAGCAGTCTCGTACAGTTGAAACCAGCGGTGTCGGCGAACCCGTAACGAGACAATCAGAGAGCGAGTTTTCGGTTGCTTAACGGGACCTTCTGTTGAAGAATGTGTCCAACACCAGAAGTTGCGTTGGTCATGCCGAACCATCGCTTGTCAGAGAGAGCGCTATTTTCTGTGCCCCATTCAGAGCGGCAGAAGCAGAGAGGTGGCCAACACTTGACCTGGTAGAGGGGTACGAAGATTAAAAAAGTCTGGGCGCAGTCAATGCGACTCGCTTTCCCGAGTACGATCGCGTAATCCCTACTGCATCTGGGTGGCTACGCTGCAAGCTATGGCTGCTAATCGATATCAGTAGCATTCTTTTCGTCAGCTCATATCCAGATTACATGAATGAATGTCTGGAGGCCTGGGCGATTCGAAACGATTGTGGTAGGCTAGCTCTAAGTAGCTTCGAAATAAGGCTTCCAAATCCAATCATGGTACGGCAGGGAAGTATCGGTGTTGAACACTGACGTTGCGCTGTCGATGACGTCATACCTTGAAGACCGAATGCTCCATCGCTAGTTTTGATAACGATGCCCCAGAGTGCTTGTGTTGGACTGATCCGGTGGATGTAGCCATGCTTGACTTGGGCATAGTAAATTCCACAAAGCGAAGCTTAGAAACGCCTACGAAGCGAGCTAAAGGCTTGGATACGGTCGCAGATACGAAGGTTGTGCATCTGCAATGGCCAGATTGCGTTCTCGGCTCAGTAGGTATGGATGATGGTGAGCGTCTGTTGCGGTTGCCTTCTAACATAAGTATTTTAATCCAGTGACAACCTCGGATCCGAACATCAACCAACACCCAAGACAGTATCTAAGAATTCCTCTATTGATGTTTTTATACGAGCATTCTCCGGTAATGTGGGTAGCTCATAGATCTTGCCCAGTCACTCCACCTTCACGTGTAGCCCCAGTGGAAAACAATATGTGAAACCACGCAGGATTCTTGGTACTTAGCTTTTGGTAGTTTAAAGCCACTTACATAGAAGCACTGGATCCTGCACAAGAACTTTATCCCATTCGAACCCCTGAGACCTATTAAAGTTTGCCGAGGGAAAGATGCGATCTGAGTGCGCTTTTGGAGACAGTGTAAAATGGGTATCGTGTTGACTGAAAACAGCGTTTGGATCGAAAAGGCTGTTGAAGCTCAGAGAGGAACAAATCCTGGGGACGTCCAGAGAAAGTTGTAGTTGCGTCCAGAATATCCATATTTATGGAAGCAGCGATGCTGCCTCCTCTGAAGGACAGGTTGGAAAAGGTTGACCCTAAAAACCGCAGAATCCCATGGTCCAACGGTTGGCCGTAACCGCTGAGTGAATCAGTCAATACGGCCAGAATACTTTGAAAACCAAGGAGTTTGGTGATGCCGTTCGGAGGCCAGCCGCCCCTAATAACTGACACCACAACTGGTGACAGCCCGAACCCATGGTGCCAATTTCGGCAGGGCAACTTTAAGTGATTCTGCAGCAGCAACAGCAGTCCGAAGAATCTCAAATGAGGCTTGTTGAATCTGTGATACGCAGTATGTCGGTGAATGCGACAAAAACATTTGGGCCTCCGTCATCTTCCACAGATGCTGTTGCCAGCTCGATTACTAAATTCAATCTCGACGCTAAATCCGGACGAACTTTTGAAAGTTGACTCAAGAAATATGAGGACATGTTTCAAACCGACTTTGCTCAGTTTGATGATGCATGGAAAATTCGATTTTTGCTGCGGAAAATGCGGACAGCTGAACATGATTGGTTCACAAATTTCATACTCCCCAAAACTCCCTCGTGGTAAGCATTTTCTGGCATCAATCATGGACAGCGATCTCGATGTTGCCTAATTGTCTTTTGTCGCATCGGAGAAGTTGGGCGGACATCACTGCCCGTCGCTAGCATAGATCCTTCCATATTTTCGCATGCTTCATCCACGTACTACCTGTACAGTATTGGTTTGCTGTGGAGAGCTTCTGGACTAGCTCAAATCGATACTGTTGAGCTATGGTAGTTCTTCAAATTTGGTGAATTAGCATGTTTCCCGCCGCTTTGCGAGGGACTGAGGGGAAACGAACCATCAGGCGTGCTCGCACCATGTGCCCTGGAAGGAACAGCAGCCCTGAACTGTAGCTCTCTGCCAGTGGCTGATGGCCATGTGATCTAACTTGGTCCACGGTTGATTCGCAGTTGGTAGCTGCCAGGTTACGCGATGCGAACATCTATGCTGAAGGTTTGTACCGGCCAGAAACAGTTCATGATCAGCACGCAACTGGAGTAGTCGATCTCCGTTGTCTGTGTGACGAGCATTGACTCCGAATCGACCGCCCAAATGCGACTCCAAGGAGCTCAGACGACCGACTTGAGCGTTCATATCGCTCGCAAGGTTCATAATCTCAGTTCTTCTTGCTTGATGAATGGAATAGAAATTACCCATGAGAATCAGAACTGTTTACGTTGGGCCATAAGCTAAAACTACCAACAGGCACCGCTTTTTATACCGAGGGAAGTTGATCTTGATTGATTAAGCTGGATAACGGGACGGCACAAAGGCGATTGTTTAATGGCATCTTATCCAGCAAAACACGTTCAGTTCTCGGACCGAGTGCAAATCCCGCACCGTACAGTCAACGAGCCATCGCTTCTTGTTCACCGAACGCACGGAGGGAGAAATGTGAAAGACGAGTTCGCCCCTGACTTTCTGATATAGAAAACCACGCTTGCGTCTTGTGTGCGTGTTTCGGAGATACGGCATAAATCAATTCTAAGGGAGTAAAATGCTCCAGCGAGCATAGCCTGTTCGCCAATATGACATTAATTATGGACGTTAAAATCTCCTTTATAGGAAGGATACCGTGGATTTAGAAAGGCGTTATTCTGTTTATTGTTAACGGGCAGTGTGGAGCATAAGGCCCTTCGGTCAGGTAACTGACAGTCAAATCACCAGCGACGTTTGCTTGTGTTGTAGTAAGGGACATCGGTGGACAGAGAACTGTGCGGACAAATGATACTTCCTGGTTGTCTAGGCCGAGGAAGGTCTTCGGTTGAGGTACCTCACCTTGAGCCTTAGGCTCAAAAGCCTGACGCACAAGGCAGAGGGAAGGTGTAGGGTTTTGTTGGGGGAACGTGTCCATAACTTTTGATTAAAAAATCTGACAGCGGACAGTGGGGTAATCTTTTGGGACCCTACGCGGAGCCGATGACTCAACAGTTTGACCTGCTGGGCTGCAAGGAGTTGTACCGACCCGTCGGCGCAGAGAGTAAGGAATTACTGTGTCATTCCTGAGGCGGCTGCACTCAGCAGGTGCCTTTTGAGCAGCACCGGATTCTTTGACTTTGAAAGCACTTAGGCTATATTGAATAATGTTCCGACGATCAACCGTTTGGCGACCGGAGAGAGCGGGTTTTAGGGTCGACCCTTCTAACCCGTCCTTCCTCAGAAGGTAGCATTACTGCTTCCTAGAATATGGACATGCTGGTCGCCTGGTGGAAACACCCGATTGCTGTCGCGCTCCTACCAATGAGGACAGTAAGACTTAACCCCCAGACTGCCTCGTAGCGCGATTACTAGCAGTACGAGGTCTCATTGCTCAGGTGGTTCAGTTATGACCGATGGGCATCATTCAATCATTTACTGAGGTGCTGCTTAGGAGGACGTACAAAAATTAGTCGTCCGAAGTCCCGCCGGGAGGCTGGTTAACGGCCAGATATGAATGGTCAGTGTGTAACGCTTTGAATTCGTCGCCTACCAAACAATCCACTTAGTCACGCATGATGGGGGAACACTGTAAGTTCTAAAGCCTGTGAACGAGGATAAAGGAGTACCGCAGTACGTCACAGTGTCCAAAGAACCCTCTGGAACTGTCGAAACATTTAACAAAGGAACTCTGGTCGAACTAGGGTGGTGCGTGTTAAAATACGAGCGAGGAGTGTGGACGTAGCGTGCTCCCAATACGGACTATCGATCCGTAATTGTCAGCATATTTATTAAATCATTTGGAAGTCTCATTGGCATGATCCGCACCGAGTACCCCTTTGTCATGCACAGGGATAAATATCGGGCCCTTTGACTATGTGAGTTCGCGTTTTACACACTGATGGGTTTCATGCTAGCAACACACTGGACGGTGAGTCCCATAAATCATTTGTCGAGACGATGATAGATTTAAGTGAAATTTCGTTAACGGAGGACAGAATACAGAGAGCAGATGTTCGAGTAGCCGATTGACACCGAGTCGTAATTTCATGAGATTTACTGCGCGACATACGCAGCATACGATGAATAGAACAAGCAACAGTGCCAACAACAGCGCGCCGTCTTTATAAGAATCACCAACAGCGGGCACTCCCGCTACCCATCAGTTCAAAGTATTCCTTGTGTGGAGTTTCGAGGTGACGAAGAGAGGCTTCGGTTCGTAACCAAAATAGTGATACAGCTGTCCCCCCTGGGTACACAGCTGTCGTACAGCGAAGGGATGGCAAGAGTGAGATAATGTCAGTTGTGCAAACTTAGACAGTAGGAACCAGAAAGCTGGTTGACCTTCCAGTCAATAGTCTCACACCTTGGGCTGTTTTTTCAATCCACCGCACCATCCATGAGCGAAGCAATAGCGAGTTGAAAAAGCGTATTATGACGCATAGTTTGTAGCCAAGGAAACGAGCTTAACTGTCCATACTGGGATGCGAAATATTAGACTGAGCACCATGCCTCGAATCCTCCACTAAGCGGTCTGTGGGCTCTCATCCAGCGTTCAATTCTTTTTTGAAAGATTGAGACATTTACAGCGGGGACGGGGTGATAGAAGTCTACTTTCATTTTGACTGTTTTCCATCGGGGTCAGACAATGGAAGTTGCCAGAGCAAACTATGGAATGTCTAAAAAGAGAATTAGCGTCACTCGTCCATAACTCCAAGAAATTGTAGCAGAAGACGATCGTAGGTTGCGGTTCCAGGAGTTAGACTACTCCATCTGACTGTACAGCTGTGCTGTATTTGGACAACAATACTAATACCACTACTAATAATATCAGGTACCCGAGTAGGGGTACCTCCTTGAGCTGGACCGGGTTTGTCGCTCTTTTGAACCATACACCACAAGTAGCAAAGTCCAACCACATGTATCCCCGGACTCTTAGAACCTTAGAACTTCATCAGGAAAAGGTAAGAGATGATCTGCTGCCGTTCTGCGAACAAAAAAATCGCTCAGCTGTAGCACCCTTCCGGTGCCTAGCTGCCATGCCACCCGGAGGAAGCACGAGGGCTGGGATACTGCCAGGTTGCCCAAGCCTAGACAGGGGAAGTCGAGTGCCAAATGTCGGCTTCGAACCAGGGACCTTCCGGTCGGTAAATTCGCGCTCTAACCACTTGGGCTATCTCGCCCAAGTGCTCGCTATCTGCGAGCACCATAAGTGGCAAACACTCAAACTGTCGAAAAAAATCTGACAAAGACGCCGATGATATCAACTATTGGCCATATCCTGAAGTGTTTCTAGCCGACCACAGGGCACAGGCAAGCCCCATCATGAAAGGCGTATTGAGCGGACAGTACCCAGGATGGGGGGCGAGATGGACCAAGTGGTTAGAGCACGAATTAACTGATTGGAAGGTTCGTGGTTCGACCTCCCCTGTCTAGGCTTGGGCAACCTGGCAGTATCCCAGCCCTCGTGCTTCCTCCGGGTGGCATGGCAGCCCGGCACCGGGAGGGTGCGACACCTGGGCGGTTTTTTCCGAAATTCCTTTCCCTCTGACACACCAACGGCTATGGGCAGCCCTCCGTCATTTTCGCTTTGGAACTGCATCACCGATGAAAGTGCCAGTGATGAGTACTTTGCTTCAATGGCAGTGAAGCATCGGTGTTGAACACTGAAGTCATGCTGTCGATGATGGTGCTTCTGCATGAACAAACATTTGCAACCGGATAAGGTGTTTGTGGGGTGCAAAAGCGGGTTCGTGTATGATGTTTCATAGATGTAGCCCTATTATGGAGGGTGCCATGGAAGACGACGGTTCCTAACATTCGACATCAATATTCAAGGACTGTGCCGAGAACGTCGTCCTGACGAAAGATACAGATTACTAGATCCACCCTTCAACCTAATGCAAATGGGTGAACGACAACCGAAGAGTCCTTTGAGACTAGCAACTAGCCATGACCCACATGGAACCAGTGGACATTCATTCAGGAAAGAACGAGGACACTGACCATTGCAAAACTTCGCACGCAATGAACTCAAAATGACCACAATTCATGGACAATGTTACTTCTGGGAGGTTGCCAGACAAAAAGCAGGCTGGCTCAGTAGTTAGAGAGCGAATTTACCAACTAGGAGGTTCGTGGTTCCACTTCTCCCCTCCAGGCTTGGGTAACCTGACAGTATCCCAGCCCTCGGGTGGAATGGCAGCTAGGCACCAAAAGGGTGGTACAGCTGAACGCTTATTTTGTTATTCAGTGTTAGTATACCTATAAGCAGAATCCCTATAAGATATCGTATGAACTATACAGGCGGTGAACCGAAAATGCGCCTTGCATGTGACCAGAATTCCGCCAAACACCACGCTCTTGTGCAAATCACCCAGAGCTACAGACTGTTACTAGACATTCCCGTCATATAAGCCCATAATAAACCAATCTATTCATTCATTTGCACGTGCCACAATACAGCACCCAATGATACAAAACGAGACACCAACCCGTCCGATAAAACTCAAACAATCCACCGAAGCAAAGGATGGTGTACATTTTACACTGTATGTATTGGCTGCCAATTGAGGACAGAAAGGTTTATACACATACTAAATGAGTTACAAATGACATGGACAAAGTCGAATGATACATTCGATCGTTCAACGTTTGGAGGGAACTGTACAACGGAGTCACCGAGGACCGAGAAGGGTAGCAATGTTGAGCAGCAAGAGAGTAGACATTGAAAAACGGGACGAGTGACGGCAAGAAAACAGGTATCATACACAACGCTTCAATGTTCGCAAGTGGTACCTACAAAAAGCCCTGACAGTATTTGAATATGACTAAAATTAAATGCGGATAGAAAAATACGGGCAGTAAAAAGTCTCAGGAGATTGTATACACACACACACAAGCACAGGTAAGGAGGATTCAAAAGGGATATGGACATTAAGGGAGGATTGTGAAGGGAGAAACATTTATGATTGTTAAAATATTCTGGGAACAAGTTTGTAGGGGACTAGCTTCTTGTACATGGTCCAGCTGATTCCGTGCTTGTCTTCATTGAATCGCTCCGTTTGATGTATGCGACGCAACAGAAAAATCGTCAGAATAAGTGGATAGATCCACGGCATTGCCGAAGAGAAGCCTTTGGTTAGAAATAAAAAAAATAGGAAATCAACTGTCACAACAGGAAAACTGTGCCAGGGAATACAAGGATACATCAATGTATATCTGAAATGCACGAAAAAAGTTCACTCAACCCGTAGTTGATGGGGCGAGATAACTCAGCGGTTGGAGCGCGAATTCACTGTATCGCAGCCGTCGTGCTTCCTTCGGAAAGCATGGCAGCAAGGCACCGAAATGTTTACAGCTGAAAGACCATCGTATTTGATGGGACTGCAGTGAGTAAACGATGTAAGACAAACAAAACGCAGCTTGCCTGCATTCGCACCCACCGAACTTCTTGGGATGGAATTCATGACCGTTGACTTGTCATGTTGATCTTTTAAATATAAGTCTAATGAAAAAGGGCGGCTCTAATTTTGGACACACTAACGGCGCGACAGGACAAAAACTTAGAGGGACTGTTGAAAGCCCAAGAAGCGGAATGCACCACAGTTGAAATATTGCGAAATTACTCGTCAGTGCTCAAAAGACAACCTACAACGAGAGCTCTTATTAACAGATGTGACTGACCATTGGAAACTGTGCCCTAATATCCACAACAGGGCGGTGATCTCTCTTTAGAGCGAATACCTATTAGTACAATTGGAGCCATCTTTCCGTGAGAAGTCGCTCTTACTAGGGTTAGGTTATCTTGATCAGGGGCAAAGCTGAAAAGTTCTCATTAATGCATCCATAGTTGTTAACTCGTGTGTTCAATCAATTCTTGACTATATCGACCTCGCCTGGATTGTTGGACACTTCCGACCGGTTTGCAAAAAAAAACGAGTTGAAACTTATTCAGTGGCATTGATTGCTACTTCGTTGTGACTTCGGTCGGTCCATCTTCACCATCGGCATACACAAGCATATCAACGTTGATCGTGAGGTATCACTGCCGTACCAACAGGCAATCATAAACGAGATTTAGCTGAGACGCAGTCCGTTACCTTTTAAAAAAAAATAACAGTTGGTATGCAAATGAATGCTTCGCGAATTTCGTGCAATTTGGGGTTCAAATGGAACATAGGATTGACGGGAACTCGCGGTCTGCACCTCCTGACGAGCCCCAAGAAGGCCGGAACCGGTCGTGGGGTGCCAAGGAGTTCTCCGTAACCTTATGACGTGTGTTTATTGAAATCCTTCTGCTCAAAGCCTGGAGAACAACCTGCACAAATCTAAGCGTTCAGACAGTCTGACATACACAGCATCTCCAACGAAACGCAGACAGCGACAAGCATTCCCCGAGAGTCAATGTACCGGACTCGTACTTGCTTACCTATGGAAGCGAACGCCCTTCCATAAATTCTCCGGTTGGAATTATCATACCACTAGGTGATTCAGACTGAATTGTTGCAGGCAAAAACACCTAAATTTCTATCCGGTATTCAGTTATCAATGAAACTCTCCGTGCTCAGTATCACCTAGAGACAAATGATGAAGTAGTGTTCACTCAACTTCGAGGCTGGGTCCTAATGGTGAAAAATCAAGGCCTCACGTAATACTGGTAGCTCGCCAAGCCCACACAGATGGTTTCAACAGAACAGAGTAAATAGTTCTGCATCAATACTGGGTTAACTGAATCCGAAGAAACGGATAGGGTACAAAGGTTCTTTTCATTAAGCGAAAGTTGTTGAGACAAATGCGTCAGATCCCTGGATCGCTACCCTGAGCGTCACTGTGCTACGGGAACGCTGCTGTCAACCTAACATACCACAAAATGCCAGCGGCTAAACGTTCGAAGACGTCCAAGGTCGTCCGATCCAGACGAAGCTCTGTTACGAAAAAGTTTAGCTGTTCCGTAAACACGTCACGGATGACGTAAGTTGGTGAACATTGCTCGCGTCCCAATAATGAACACATCAGTGTCAGCAGCATTACCTCATCTGGCAAGATGCATTAAAACCGGTCAAAAAGTCTAGCACTCCAAAGGTACAGAAAAATCGTTCAGCTGTAACACCCTTCCGGTGCCTAGCTGTCATGCCACACGAAGGAAGCACGAGGGCTGGGATACTGCCAGGTTGCCCAAGCCTAGACAGAGAAAGTCGAGAGGCAGAGGTCGGGTTTGAAGCACGGACCTTCCGGCCAGTAAATTCGTGCTCTAACCACTTGAGCCATCTCGCCCTCCCCCTAAATGTACATGATTTATGCTAAAACAATGAGACGTTTCTAGCATATCGTGGAACGGCAACCAATTGCCAAAATATCAAGTGCATAGGCTAGATGCCCCGTTTCATCTTTTAAACAAAGATCCACGATTCCTTGTGACGAAATTAACAAAGCTGGACCGAGAAGGGAAGTTGTGCGATATTCCGGCATTTGACAGTGAACGCAAATAAAACAATTAGTACCTACCGGAAGGAAGCGAGGCCGCATATGCCATCAAAAGGTCCCCGAGGTAATTGGGATGCCTCAAAACACCCCACCAGCCACCAGCAAGAAGACGTTGCGTATGTGGACCAGAGATTTTGCTCACATCTGTGGGTAAGACAATCACCAAAATGCAAGTAAATAAGATAGAAGAGGAGAATAAGGAACGGGAACTGTGACCAGGTTACACTGGAACACTCGTAGACAAAAAGCCCCTCATCACCTAGACGTAACACACCACTGGGAATTTGGCATGCGAGCAAGAGCCGCTTGTTTCGGGGTGCGAACATTAAAGGTAGATAAGTAGACCGGAGGGTTCGAAGGGTTCAGAGTTATCAGTGAAGTCAGACGGACACTAAACATGGCCAACAAAGCCAACAAATCAAAAAAAAAACTCTGGTGAGATCGTAGCTTGTGTGAAACCACAGGGGAAAATAGATGGGACGTCAATGACGGGTAACAGAACGTACCAGCAAAAGATGGGTGATTAGGCTGGTTGCGGAAGAGATTCTTCTGGTTGTTGGACGATCGATAGATCCAATAACCCACGAAGAAAAGAACGACGGCACATGCAGTTAAAATCCAATGATGATAGACCGGATCACCGGTAGGTGTAAATAAGCGCCCAACATCGGGTTTCGATGACAAGTAGGCTGCAGGTAAGCCGTACAGGAAAGGGAACAGCAGCGCTCCTCCAAGCGAGCGATATCCTAACCCATGATGAAGGACCTCGAAAGAGGTGGCCAATGTGTGCTGTTGATGACAAAACAAAAAACAGAACCATTTTACTGGAAAAAATGATCGAAGAGCGGAAAACGCATGACAAACGACGAAACACAAAAAACCAAATGTATAGAAACAACACAAGCACTGCAGAGTACGAGCGCATCTGACATTATCAACACACTGCTGACAGTTTGAATGGTGATGAAGCGTTTGTCACCTAGCTGCTGGGCTCCGTGAACAGGTAAACAGCTTAATCGATGGACCGCAAACACACTCGGTGTATATAAGTCTGCAGAAGACAGGCGAATGGTTCTTAACACTCGGCTTTTACTTGCCAGTTGAGTAAAATCCGCAGGGAGTACATGTTAGGTACACCGGTGTCGACTTAGGGGCGTTTTTATTACTAACGTTACCTTCTCACAGCGAATATACGCTGACCAGCGTCCATTGTGGTCCTAATGACCAGAAACAGCTGGTTAACCACGTCACTGACGACAGTCTCACCAAAGATAGCTGCGCTGACGCTGGCTTCGGTGGTTGACTGCGCTACAACCAAAAAGGGGAAAAAATAAAGGCCAACACGAACATCACGGGGTGGATACAAATCCATTCAGTCCGGCTACAACTGGAGGTAAAAAGTCTATTGCTACAGTGACTAGACACCGAGAAAGTATTACAGGCGAACGAACAGCAGAACGCGTGTCGAAAAACGTAGAAAATAATTAATCCATCACGGTTGATGGTGCTGGGTGTTCTTTGCACCAAAAAGGACATTCGCAAGTTGCCCGGTGTTAGCCTAAAATGCTCCGATCGGAGGACACCGAAGACAAAAGCGGACCGTGTATCTGCAGGGATCATGACACGCGCAACATGCAACACATTGCGCACTACAAATGGCCCTTTCATTACAGCGTTTGATGTCTGATGAGAATGATTAATACCTTTGGGGTTACAATACATCGGTGGAGAACTAGTGGAACTTCCCGAGTTCAGAAGAACCTTCAGTATCTCTATGATGTGCAAGGTTTGTGCTGAGACTGTCTTAGGCGGAATGCTGTAACGACTAATAAGCCTAACTCGCAAGTGGTTGACCAAAAGATCGGATGGGGCGGGTTCTGACTGGTGTGGATTTAACAGCCAGTCACCCTCCAGTACCCACCCAATGCCGGTTGCCAATAACGCTTCCAGAAGGCGCCCGAGTTTTCAGTGTTGTCGTTAGACAATTTAGATGCGACGTCCTTTACACGGATTTTTGACCTGTTTTTGGTCGTGTGCACGCTTGGTGGTTCAGCTGGAGCTCCATCTTGAGAGGATCCGGCCGAGATTAGGTAATAAATTACGAATAGATATAATAACTCGTCGACCACCACACTGTTGTGGTAGATTGAGCTGCCAGTCACAATAACGGGGATGTCTGCATAAGCCAGGTCAGCGCTTTCAGATAAAACCTCATGCTATAGGGGTATGTTATACTGGTGTTTAAGGTATGATCCGCGAACAAGCATGGATGGACGATGATCTTACATAGTATTATAATCGTTCAGCTGTAGCACCCTTTCGGTACCTAGCTGCCGCGCGCCACTAAAGAAGCACAACTGGGATACCGCCAGGTTTCCCACGCATAGAGAGGGAAAGTCGAGATGCAGAAGAAGGGGTTTGAACCACGAACACAGCACTATGTGTTTTATCAGTCCAGTTGCAGATGTGTGATTACACGTGACCAGAGCACGCTTCAGATCATGAGCAGATATAACACAGGACGCCTCAGTATTGGCATATAAAAACCGTCCCATTCGCCTTGTAAAATCGAAGCGGACGGGGAAATCCAACACTAAGCGCCTACCTCAACAGAAACGGCATCCACCAGCCAGATGGAATGCAAAGCAACCAGGACGGCCAAAGCCGGACTGATGCGCCCATATCGTTCCCATTGTGCACACAGAAAAGTAACTTCCGCGAGCAATAAGCCGATTGCTGCTGGGCGATGAACGACCATTTTCCAATCCAAACCGAACCAACGTGGTCGCAGCGGACGGCCAAACCAAAAGTCAACCACAAGATTACCTGGTGAAAATAAGTGAGTAAAGAATTGAACGACATAGTTATTCCATTTGTGGTATGAAATGCTATAGGTGAGGGGAGTCTGAGGGAGAAACAGATGATTGTGCGATTAACCAATTAACTGCGATGGATTCGGCATAGTTATCAACAAGCCAATCACTTCATCATCATCATCATCGTCAGCTGCGATAACCGCGTACTTGTCGTAGTGGTTTTCGCTGCCGCAGTTTCGTTCACCGATAATTCGGGGAGGCGGGGTAGATAGCTGCGCATTGGAGGCGGGAGCTGATAAATCCGTATGTAAATACAGCACTGTCAGGTGGGGGGATTGGGAAGGGAGCTATGCCATTGAAGCAATAGCTTGGATGCACGAGCTCCACTGAGGGCGCGACTGGACTATGCCTGACGATGTCTCCAACCATTAATGTGGCCCGTTTCGGGGTCCCCATCCAGGAAGAAGGCAATGACCAGCGCAGCTGAATTTGCTGGTAATGGCGTTTACATTGTTTGACCGCCTCTGGCTCGTACAAAACAAAAAATAATAACCGGACCCAAGGATGCCCCAACCAATTACCGCAAACATGTGAATATGCCCAGCAGATTATAAGCTGGTTATGTTGCGGAATATGGGTTGCCCGGATGCGCAGCTTGGTTGTTGGTCCGCTCGCTGAGCTTGGCAGTTGGATGGCAAACGTTTCATCACCAATCGAGGTGACTTTAGAGTTATTAGAAACTATATATAAACTACATAAACACTGTATTGACAATATCACTGCGATTGCTGCTGAAACGCTTTCAATCCAGTTGCCAAGCTCAGCGAACGGACCAACAGATCATAAGCTACTGGTAACGGCAAAACGAAGACCGCACCTGAAGCACTTCAAGTAACTCACCTGTATTACCCTCCGACGAACACTGAGAACGCGGCAAACGGCGTGATACAGCAAGGATCACACATGCGGCGACGGTAGCGATGTTGCCCATGGCAGCCAACAAACCCAGCCAGTATTTTGGAATCATCATACTAGGTTTCACGCTGCTCAGCTGCGGCAATTGTCCGAATTGTGCCACAGCGTAGATTGCGCCAAACAACATGAAATGGACCAAACCTGTGGGAATTGTGAAACAATGATCGTCAGGAAGAAAGGTATGAAAGAGATTACGAGCGTTTGGGCGCTTCGGGGCTAATCGCCTTCCAGAGTGGGAACCGCGTGTTCTCCATTGCACCTGGTTAGAGACGTTGCAAGATATGGCTGCTTATCGGTGTCAGTTTCTATTCAGATTGCCTGAACGAGTGCCTGGAGGTGTAGGCACCTCGGAATGAGTAGTAGTAGTAAGCTAGCACTATGTCATTTCCCTATCCGCCTTTATTCTTTTCTGCACCATAAGACTTTCAAGTAAAGCATGGATGTACGACAGCGAAGCATCAGTGTGGAACACTGATGTAAGACTGTCGAAGCTGATGCAGGGAGAACAACGCACCATGTCAGAAACCGTCCACAAAGTTGCTGAAAACCTTTCGACAACTCACCAGTTTCACACTTTTGCTGGCGACTCACCAGGTAAACGTAGTCCTCGAGTTTCCGTCAATTTCATGTTAAAATCGGACAGATTTCGACATATACAATCATTGCATATCAATCTGATTTTCCCGAGAGACTACAGTTGAACCTCTCGTTTATGACATTCAGCTGAGTCTTCCGTGGAAACCAAATTAATATGCAAATGAGTATTTGTTGGAAACTCAACCTATCCTTTCGAAAGACAAAACCAAGTCCGGTTTGTATTCAGGGTTGTTAACAGCTGAATGTCAGCAACACAAAGCCCTAAAAGAAGCGCCTCAAGAGGAGGGTATTTATGCCATACGACTTGCTACTACCGCAAACCACTCTACTAGTAAAGAAAATCTGTCGACGTATAATGTTACAGAGAAGTTTGGCGAGATTCCTGCGGTGAAATAGCCCAAGTTCACGCTACAGCGGCTATCGGGCTGCAGGACAGTTAAGAACGCATGTGGCACAGGGTCCGTGATAGTGGGGATTGGAATATAGCTTACGGAATGCATGTTCATCCAGCTTTCATAGAAAATGTAGCTGGCAACGCAGGAAAAATTTGTCCTAGCAGAAGTCCGAAAATTAAGAACTCATAAAATGATGACAATGAGGATTTGGTAGGATCGGCCACTTTAGGATGGTTGCTGTGGTGACACATTGTATTGACTGCAGATCTCGGTACCAATCTCGACTTCTGTCAACGTCTGGGCAAATTGGCGGGAAACGAGCTCTCGTCCTTCCCTCGGGCAGCTAGCCACCGAAAGGATGTTACAGCTGAACGGAAGACTTAGAGGCGAGAAGTAACGTCATTAGGCCAAAAAATTCGTTGTCGACGCAGTTCGATTAGCGGTCCTGTTATCAACTTACCATTTGCTTTGTAACCCGCCCGACGCGCCTCGGTGTTGTAGTTCCATCGATTGCCAAAAGGAATAAAACGAGCCATCAAGAAGTGCAGGAACAAATAAATAAGTACAAATGCATGGCAGCGGTAGTCAAAATAAACGCGCCAATCGACTGGCCAGAAAACGCCGGCGAAGCGATATGCTGGACCCCAGAGAGTATAGGGAGCTTTGGCATCAGCGTTGGATCCCTGCGACGAAGTGGATGTGAACACCCACAAATTGAACCAGTAAAACAACGGTAGAAAGGTAACCACAGACAACAGTGCTCGGAAGGATGGAGGGAAAACTTTCTCCTCGAGGACTGTGGAAATCCTTTGGTAGAAGTTTGCAGAAAAACCGGATTTTGTTGTACGTACAATGGGACTCGGGGATCTAAAAACAAGAGTACAAAAATGTTAGTATCGAACTTCCACGGGCAAAAGCGCAGGGTGGCACGTTGATCAATATAATCCGAGGAAGTTAATCCGAAGCAAACTGATGAAGGCCCTCTCGTGATGAAAAATAATTGCTTCCCGAAAATCCGTAGAGATAGAGAAGCCTACAGGACGAAGATGTCGCTATGGAACCGTCACACCACACAAGTACCTGTACTCTAGACTTGAAGGCCACTGGGATCGTGACACCTTATCTGCAAAGCCTGAGTAATTCTATTTAGACCAAGTGGCCCTTGATTGCTGCTGTCTAGCATGCTCAAAATGATAGCGGTATCGTTGTCAAAAGCACGTCAATATACCCAAGCGACTAACCTATATGTGGACTACTCGGTTTACCCATCCACCCACACATAGGTAATCCGAACGTTGATGCAACCTTCTTTCATAGGAGTCCCACCGCCCGAGGAAGTTAAAAATAGAGCGATAAGTGAGGTTCGCCGTACACCCATATATTTGAGAGTTGAGTAATGCGACAGTTTGGGAAATCCAATCCACATCGCACAGGAAGCCGCCTGACGAAAGCGACCAAGATGGAGAAGTGAATCTACCCATCACGACCTACGGATATCACTTCGCCGTGGTGGTCGTGCCGCGATGACCCCGGCGGATTATACTGGCAGGATATCAGCTCCTTAAGGTCCAATCATGCAAGGAAGGTGAACGCGGGGCAGCCCGATGAACAGCCAGTATCCGTACTTCCTGGCAGGTATCAGCTCCTTAAGGTCCAATCATGCAAGGAAGGTGAACGCGGGGCAGCCCGATGAACAGCCAGTATCCGTACTACGGCAAATTGTAAGACGAGACGTCCTGAAAGCAAAGCCGTACTGCTTTCTGTGACAGTGTAAGGGTGACCAGCATATTCATTTATAGAAGCAGAGATATCGCCTTCAGGAAGGAATGACGCGTTAGAAAAGGTCGATCGAAAAAACCACACACTCCGATCGTCCAAAAGTTGACCGTGATTATTAGCGCATTATTCAACACGGTCGAAATCCTTTGGTACCATAGTCCGGTGCAGTGCTGAAGGCATCTATTGTACACAGCCGCACAGATACTTCTGGTCGGAACTTCGCTTTCGTTTTGTGTGAATGTTGTGCTTCCGAAACATGCACACAACACCCCAGTTCGACCGTACACCTTATGACGAGCCTAGATGTCCCTGGTTTCACTCTTCGAGTATTTGATGATCGTCACGCTATGACTCATGGTATATGCAGTGTAGGAATTGCACACGCCCTGGAGTTGAAAGTGTTTTATTGTACTAGATCACAATAAACCGTCATTTCTGTACCGTACTTTTGTCTGGTTCAAGTGGGTGGGTGACATGATTTCAGAATTGGACAACTAGGTCTGGAAGCACAATTAGGTAGCAAATTTTGAAATCGATTCACAGCGTGGGAATATTGCGGAGTGGAAAGCAGTGAAGCAGTGGTGTCAAGCCCGACGTTGCTATTTTTGATGATGAATGCGGAGGGAATTCTCCCGTTATGTGCCCAAAAGCTTCCGTCCCAGGCCATCACAACTGTTCACATCGAGTTACCTGGGAACTATCAACCACAGGCCAATCATGAACTCAGTTGGATTATGTGCTATCAATCACCGATGGAGTGCATAAATTGAAGATCATCCCGTTGGGGTACACAACTTGTGCCCGACCATGCCACTGTATAACTCCGGCTATCACTTCGCTTTCCCTCGGCGGTACGCGAGCTGAAGACGGGTAATCCCGTCTAACTACGACAGCTGAGATTTAGTAGTTGAAGCGCATCGAGCTTATCTGACTGAAGAGCTAGTGGAAAGCAGTCACGCTGATGGTGAAGATTGAGTTATACCTTAAGCTTCCAAAATGTCTCGACCAAATGAACAACAAATACCACTGCAACGATAAATGAGACCAACAATTAGGATGGCGCACGGGATAACTAAGAGATTGACGAACGACAGAGAACGCAGGTGGGTTGTGAAGGCCCCGGAAGTAGCAAGCTTTAGCTACAGATAGCAGCTGGTTTTGAAGATGGTTCTAGGCCAATCGTCAGAAACTTTGGTGTGTGGGAATCAAAAGTGCCTGTTCTAAATCTGCCTGCCTTAGGCACAGCATGTGAAGTCCTATGGGCGCATACGGGTACAGAAATAGCCCTTGCCGGGTTTCTACAAATCTAGTGGTATAAGAAAATTGCTCTCTCCCCACTCCTCTTCGACATTGTTATTAGCGTGATACCCGGAATTCTACGCCTGTCTCCAAAAACCTTGCGGATCGAAATACTCCCGGGGTGTTCGCTCACTGGTACTGAGTATATGGACGACATCGCTCTCCTCGGTTCGACCGTTCAAATATGCAAACCATTTTAAATAACCCGGATGACTTCGAATAGGGTATGCATATCGTGCGCTGTTTGTATTCACACTTGTGGGAGCGTGAACGTATGACAAGCCATGCCAAGCCTTCCCGCAAACTGCGGTGCCCTATAAGGATGTCCTCTCTCCATCCAACATTTCGACATGTGCTTCTCGCCTATAATCATCATCATAGGAGACATTTTCATGTTTTTTTATATCTCACCTATAAAATGCAAAGACATGCGGCGTACAATCTTTGAACATGCCCCTGAGAATTAAAGGAGTGCCACTGGAGATTATGGAAAATCTTACATATCTTGGGAGACGTCTTAGCTCTGGCAGTCGTGTGACAGACATCGTCATCAAGGGCATAAAATCCGTGTTCAACACCGATGCTTCGTTGCCGTAAGTGACAGAAGACATGAACCCACGAATCCCGATCAAGGGCAATCCGTGTTCAACACCGATGCTTCGTTGCCGTAAGTGACAGAAGACATGAACCCACGAATCCCGAAGGCCCGAATTGTGTTTGTTACTGCATTGAAAAAGTATCTCACTGAGTCTTGAAGGACGAAGTAACAAACCACACCCGTACGGTTGTACTTATGCGAGACTAGGCAACTTTGAGTGGATGATCTGAGGCACTTTCGGGTCGATGACCGCATCGAAAGTACGGCTGGATCACGTTGGTTAGCAGACGCATTTGTGTTGAAAGAGGATAGCTTCTTCAGCAACACTGCAAGCTAAGGTGACTGGGCCGTGCGCCACGCATTAAGAGTTACCGCCTACTGGGATGAGCGCTGTTTTCCGTGCTTAATTCGGAGTAGCGGAAACCTAGCGGTGGACTAAATGATGTCAGTGGCGTTCACGGTCAGTTTCCATTCAGAATGTCCGACTGAGTGTTGGAGGAGTATGCACCTCGGATATTTGTGGTATGTCAGCAATTGGCCACTTCCCTCCCACATCACCTTCATGTTTTATTAAAATAAATTGACATGGGTGTACGGCAGTGAACCACTAGAGTCCCCACCCAGTGTTGCTGTCAATGATGGTTGTATGAAAGAAAGCTAAACTAAGGGCCCACCTCCCTCTAAAAAACAGTGGTGTTGCCACCCACTATACAGGGGGGATATTACTCTGCGTGAGAGTCATACTGACCAGGATGGTGCTCGGGGCTGGAATATTGCTTGCCAAAAACAACCTTCAGCGCAATTCGACCCCCACCTACTCAGTAGCCCCATCATACAGCACCGTTTCCTGACCAGAAGTTTCGCCAATCGACCGGCGGCTTCAAAATAGAATATCAAGGCAAAAAATAGTACAAAAAATAGTGTTCTCCACGACCTCTGTATAGCAAAGTGAAAAAGAGTAACGGGAAACAGAAAACGAAAAGAAAGTCAAGTTTCTCCGACTATTCCCATGTCTACCCTTGAGGGCGACGCTAAAGTCCTGTTGCAGATCCCTCAGGCCGCACTAATACCAACCGTCAACCGCTACAATGAACTTGGCGTAGGACACTTGTGGTGGGAAAAGATCTACTGTTCATCATCCAAACACATCGAAGATCACGTAGTTATCATCATGAAAGGCCCAGCGATCAAAGGTAGTGATCAGATGAAAGAAACTATTGCGGCGATGCCAGCTAGTGTCTGTCATACGATTCACTGTTCCACCATACATCGCTCGCTCAAGCTCGATTCAACTGAAGTAGACGGGTTAGCATGAATACGACTTCGGGAAGCACAAAATTCGAAGTGTCTAAACCATGTTACTAAAAGGTTCGTGTCTCAGCCATCCACCCTACTGACGACTGAAAATACACAGACGATAGTACCATTGAGTCCACCGATCCTCAAGTTGTTATTTATTGACCCCAATGAACACCTGCTTGGATTACAAGCAGCCAAATGTGAAGAAAACGGCATACGATTGGATAACCGAGAGGCTCATCACCAGATAGCACCCAGCTGTGCAGTTGCCACCGCAATGGTTCATTCTGATCGTTGGGTGCTCGTCAGAACACTCATTCAGTCCAAGGATCAACCAATGGTTAAAGAATAACGTACCGCACACTGACTGATTGTTGTCGAGTTGCATCCACTCTGTGGATGATCCTTTGAGAAACACGTGTTGGAGTAGACTCGTGGATGGCTGAAGGCCGACTCCGGTTGTTGCCAGAAGTATGCGGAACACGT